AATTTATTAGCATATTCTGCTTACAAATCACTGAACTGTTCTTGCTGCCTGATTCTAAATTATCTGGATAAACCTCAACTAGACATCTAAGATGTGTTGGTAACCAAATATTTGCCTTTTGACATGATAAAACTGTAGTGTTGCCATGAGCCTCGGTAGTTACACTTCACTCACCATACCAGTGACAATAACAGGATGAAGCTAGATAATCGAATGTCCATAATTGCAGATCAACATCTGGACTTCATTCTTTCTCGGACAGATAACTGGTTGAGCCAATGCTGCTTATTTTCAAGGCATGAAACAAGCTATTTCATAAAAACATTAACTAAGTGCAGGTCAACTGCACAAAAGGTTAAAAAAAGTTGAATGCACCTGAATAAATAAATAAGCTGTATTAATTATTGAAGGGAAAAATAGGATAGTATTAATGTTGTGGTATATCAAGGTAGAACTTACCCAACCTTAAAGATGCATGTTAGTAATTAGAGGTTCAATCAAATTACTGATCATATAGTAATTATACATCTTTTATTTACTACCAGAGTAGGAATGGGGAGAATTGATACAAAATTTAATGTGCATTAAACAATCTTTATTATAACACTTATCACAAACAAAGTGGTTACATGATTCTGTTTAAAGTACTGTCAGTTTTACCGGATTATTTTAGCTTATTCTCCTTCAAGATTCTATTCCAGACTATCTTTCTTTCTTTATCCAGGGCAGGTGTTCTGGATTACATTTCTCCTCCTCAATTCATGTTAAGGTTGAGAAATAACCAGGGATGCTCAGAAAATTTAATTTCTCTTCATCCTGCTCGCGAATTTATTTAAGATTAACCAATTGAGTAGAATCAAAAGTTCTTGCTTTTTATAAATTTTTTTGTAAAAATAAATAAGAAAATTAGAATTAACTCTCAATGTGTGTGTGTGTGTGCCCAGACAAAGCCAATCTTTGCTTCCAAAGCTCGGTTTCTATGTGAAACCTGATGTATAGTGCCACCTCAGGAAATTTGGGAAAGCCATGGATAATTTTCCTCCTCTTCATCATGCTTGGATTGGATTTCTCTTTTCACTGTCACTAAATGGCAAATATAACACTTGTAGTCCTTATGGGAAACAGGAAAAATGCAAATCATGCACAGGGATTAATGAATCCAATGTCTGAGAATTAGTTGTGAGGGAGGAGTACCTCAAGAAAACCCACTTTCGTAAGACAGATGCCAAAAACTCTACCTCTACTGTGCCTAAGATGTAAAGCAAGGCATGATTGTTAGTTATGAAAACACAATAACATGTTAAAAGACCATGAGTGTGAGTGTATAGTTAAATGTGGTTTATATTTCTTTGCAATAAAGATTATATGGTGATATTAGTTTATGGAACACACTTGTGATTCTGTGAAGAGTTGAGATTATTTTGTTTCTGTTTTCTATTTTGCAGCAATAGAGTCTGGCGTGCGTTTTTTACCCTTTTAATTGTATTTAATACTCGTTTAATAGTGGAAAGTTACTTAATCTACATAGATAACTAACTGGGGTAAAACTGGGAAGACTTAGAGCTAATATTAGTGCCCAGTTTCGTTGTACTTGTTTTGTCTGACATGTTGCATGTTACTTAGCAACTATATTGTATTAATGGCCAAATGAAAGTTTTATATATTGTTAATTTATGTTTGAAGTACATCCTGTATGTTTGCCAGTAAGAAATGTTATGTAATTGATTTGTTTGTTTATTAATTCATGAATGTTTTTTTTATGTGTTGCCTACGTGAGTCATTTGTAAAAGGTGATACCAACAAATTTGATATTGTTACACATTTTTATTTCTGTATTACCTAATTTTAGCTTCACTTTGTTGTTCTCTTAAAGTATTTGCTTAAAGTTTTGTAGAATACAATTCCTCGTGTTTTCTTCAGATTAAGCATAACATGCTGTTGGAAAGAATAAACCAGTTTTATTAAGTAAAGACTTGTGTCGCTTAAGTTTCGTCGGTACGGTACGAAGTTACGGAAAATCAATTAACAAACGGAGACGTGAATATAACTTAACCGATACAACTCAACAATCGCGCTAAACAAACGCTATAGCAACGAACGTCTTTTTCCGTAACTTCGTTCCAACGAAACTTTAACGACACAAGTTCTTTACTTAATAAAACTGGTTTATTCTTTCCGAATATAACTCTGCGATACACTTAATCTCAATACTCGCGCTAAAACTGTAACGAACGAACGTTAACTTCAACAATACCGTGTGACTGCAGTTCAATTACTCACTATCTACACACACATTACCTTCCCCTCTTTTGTATACCAGCGTAACCTATTTGTAGTAAGAACTTGAACATTCGACAAAGTACATGATAGTTCTAGAAACGTTGCGTCATAGTAGTCACGTGACTCGCTGACGCAACAGTATTCATACGAAAATGTAAACCCGTAGGCCTTCA